GACACACTGGAAAGCACAGTAGGCCCACTTGATAATAGCACTGAAACTGGATTTTACACACTCCCATTTGCAGATGATTCATGGTAATTCATGAATTTGTGGTAAATTCTTAAGGAGCTAGAGCTTAATGGGGCCTACAAACACTCAAAATTAAGCAGTCACAGTTCCCTTCCAGGACAAAGCCCGGTATTACACAGAAAGGCTACAAATAAAAGTAACAAATACTGCTGCAATCAGTTGAAAAGACCCTCAGTATAAGAAAAGGTGACTCCACAAAAAACCGGGGAAAAGATGGAGAAAAATCTGGGAAATCTCAGGAAAAGTTAAGCTCTATTTTTAGCACTTCGTAAAAATGGCGTAAGAAGAACTTTAAAGCCATAAATCTGCAAAGAGTATTCAGAACCACTCTGCCCTGACACAAGTTTAGGAAAAGTGATTTCACGTGAGAATGACCAACAGAGAATGACCATGGCACATGGAACAGAATGACATCCTGATGGTTAGAAACATGCCAGAAAGATAAGCCTACAAAACAGAAGGAAGCTAGAATCTACTGTCTCAAGACATGAGAAAAGACATGAAGAAAATGATACAAGGTAAACAAGCTATAAATCAGAAGAAAAACTCAGAATTCTGAGTTAAACATTTGAAGTAAATGGGAAAAAAAATCACTTCAGAAGTGAAGTCTAAACTAGAGGGTACACAAAAATGAATATACACCAGATAATGTTACATAAAAAGAGGTTGCAATGAAGGAACATACTAAAAATCAAAAAGAAAAAAGATGAATTAAAAGAAAAGTACAAATACAGAAGCCAGGAAAAGAAGATCCAACACACTAAGAGAGGCTCCAAACTAAATAAGGACGTGTGTAGATAAGAAAATAATAACATAATCATAACTGTACATGGCATATAGAATATTTAAGATTTTCTTATTCTCATAGCTGTGTATTTAGTGTTGCATAAAATAACTGACTACATGAAATTCTAAAATTTTATCCCAGATGATGTCCCTGAGAACCATGATTCTCACCATGTCAGAAAGTAGATAAAGATTTTAGATAGAAGAGCTAAGTAAATAAAACCCAGTAGCCACAAAGTTCAATGGAAAACATCAGCATGAACTCAGGAGGTGTTTTTATCTTTTAAAAGTATGTGCATTTCATAATTCTGTCCAAAGGCCTAGAAAGAGACCCACCCAGTAGCGACACTGAGTAGCCAGGAAGTGCTCTTAAAATACATTTTAAAACTAAAAGAAACCAGAGCACCTGGGAGAAATCAATGGTTCCAGACCTGGGGCAGGATATCTACAAGAGGATCCGGAAACATCTTGTTCCGTAACAAGCAGAAAGAAGTTCAGAAGCCAACACTGCAGAGGCTCCAACTGGTCAAAGATAGCATCAATAAGGGGTATTTTGAAAATGGACTGAAATACACGAAATGTAATTAAATGCATGAATTCCAAAGGGCAATTTGTTTCTAAATCTAATTGGTTACCGTTAAAGGATACTATTTTAAAAACTGCTAAATACATAAAGAGAATGAATTATTCTACTTTTCCCATATGAACCATACCACATGGTAACCAAATAGCAGATGATGGGAAGCTATGTCCTTATGGAAATAGTCCAGTTAAAAAAGGAAAGATAGATTGGATGATTACCATTTGGCAGTCCTTAATTAGAGTTACTGGATCTAGCATCAATTGCCATGTACATCACAAAATGAGAAACAACTGACATCATGTGTCTCCTGATAGAACACACCACTCCCATGGAATAGTCTTGCCCCCTCCCCCAAGCCACCAGATGCAGCTATCAATCTCCATGAAATAAAAAGGACTAAGCAGCAGGTTAAACTAGACTACAGGGATGCGATCAGCAAAAGCCAGACTATGGAAAATCACAACCAATGGTCGGGTTTCTTCAATCAATTCCAAAAAAAACAACAACAACAACAAAAAAGAAGAGAAACCTAGAGATTAAAAGAACAAAAGCAAGCAGAACTAAACCATTATACAGAAGTAAATTAGAGTGTTTAGGGTGTACCAGGCTAAGAGCCAGTCACCCCAAAGCCCACAACTTTTAATGCTTGACAAAACCTATGTAGCTTTTTTTATAACGGCATCACTCATCAGTCAAAATAAGAAATGAAACTTAATGACTAACACGCATTCTTGACCGTGACTCTATCACAGCCTTCAGTACCTTAACATATTCGCAAAGTTTAAAAGATAGCTTTATGTTCGGACTTGACTAAGTAGATCAACTTGATTTAAAATGAATCTAAGGCTTGAAAAGTATTTACCTATCGAGAGTACAGAATAGGAATATTAGGCTTTAGAGCAAAAGATCTGACCTCCTGTCATAGTGCATTGCTACTTCCTAACTTACCTTAGGCAAGTTTAACAAACAAGGAAATTAACATCAGCCAAGAAGCAAAGGCACTGGCCGGATTGGGCAATTTTCTAGACAGTTCTTTCTTGGAGCTGTCTAGCAGGAAATAATGACAAATGTGATTAATGTTATGAAGGAAGTACAGGCTGCTCTGATTTGAACCACATAATAAAAATAAACACGGCGTACCTCTCAGACGAGATGAGGCAGAGGAAACACAAGGACCCAGTCTTAAGCACTTAACCTCTGATTCTTTCTTTTTCTTTCTTTTCAACTTTACATGAAACTAATAAAACCAAGACTATCTGGTAGGTCAATAAATGTATTCATATTTAATTGTAAAACTATGGACCTTACAACATGAAGAAAAATAAGCCTTGGCATCAATTAAAGCTACGCTGATGAAGAAAGGAGAGAAAAGAATGCTTATCAATCATACACAATGCAAAATGAGATGCAGGCAATCCTGTTAATAATCTCCGTGTCTTTTACTACAGTTTAACGTGTGTATACACGTACACACATGCACTGGGGGAGTTAATTCTCTTACTCCCAGATCAGAAGGTGGTCACAATCTGACAGCAACATCACACTGGGAGATTCTGAGAGCTGCTCAGAGAAATGTCCCTGAAGCTTCTAGAGAAAGATGCTACAGATGAATAAAGGTCATCTGAAAAACTGAAATAGTTGTCATGTTTACATGATTTTAATTTAAAAAGCTGAATCCAAAGAAAAGTATTTTATTTAAACATTCTTCTCTAAGCAATTTTTATATAAAGGATGGTTTTTTAAAAATCTCAACCGTAAGGAAATACTGTTTTGCACTGTTTTTTTAAAATGTTTTACATCAACATCATTTGCATTTAGTTATCATACCTCAAATTACGTGCTTTATTTAAAAACATAATAATTAAAATAATGTACTATTTATTTTATTCTTATTGTTCACATAGTATTATCTTTTTTTTTTTTCTTCTACTATCTTATAGGAGCAAGGAGTTGTACACAGTCAGCTTTAAAATACCCGAAGGGCAAGTACAGAGTTGGAGCCACATATATCCTCACCCCTTCTCTATATCCTTTTTTCTTCCCTCTTAGCCTTTGGGTTTCTTTGTTTTGAGACGGGGGCCTCACTGTCACCTAGGCTGGAGTGCAGTGGTCTTACCTCGGCTCACTGCAACCTCTGCCTTCCAGGCTCAAGTGATTCTCCCACCTCAGCTTCCTGAGTGGTTGGGACCACATGTGCACACCACCACACCAGGCTAATTTTTGTATTTTTGGCAGAGATGGGGTTTCACCATGTTGGCCAGGCTAGTCTCCAACTCCTGAGCTCAGGCGATCCACCAGCCTTGGCCTGCTAAAGCGCTGGGATTACAGGCGTGAGCCACGGCACCCATCGCTAAGTACCTTTGTAATCTTCACCAGCACACCGGGAAAGGACAAAAATACACGGAACTCAATTTTATTACTTATTAATAAAGGTCAAAAAAAAGCTGTTATTTGAGTTTTGTAAATTACTCCCATTCTCCATTTTTACCCATAGCATCTAAAGAATGTGAAGACATTTTCTCTAAAGCATCAAGACATTTTCTCTAAATTATTTTTAAAATTCCAAACACTTAAAAAAGATAAATTTAGCTTTATTTCTTTAAGAATACCCAGAGAAACAAAACAAAACCAAGTTCCTAACTGAAGACTCCCTTATAATTAGTATACAACATGTAAATAGAAGCTTCATAAAGTACTTTGATTTTTCTTTTTTTTTTTGTATCCTGAATCTGTCTACCCATATAAATAGCATGAGAAACTAGGGGGTGGGGGTGGATAATTTTCTTCTTTAAAACTGAATGTTTATTTAACATGATTTCTAAAATACACAAGGAAATTGTTGAAAATTCTGTTAGTGGGCTATAAAGTAGTAAGATGTTACTACACATACCACACTTATCCTGTATTAAAATTAGTAATGAATAGTAGACTGTTTTTAGATAGCTTTACTACACAAAAGTGATTCACTAAAGGTGTTTTTAATAAAAGAATCTCTGGCCGGGTGCAGTGGCTCACGCCTGTAAATCCCAGCACTTTGGGAGGCCGACGCAGGTGAATCACGAGGTCAGGAGTTTGAGATCAGCCTGGCCAACATGGTGAAACCCTGCCTCTAGTAAAAACACAAAAAATTAGCTGGGCGTGGTGGTGGGTGCCTGTAATCCCAGCTACCTGGGAGGCTGAGGCAGGAGAATCACTTGAACCCGGGAGGCAGAGGTTGTCGTGAGCCCACTGCCCTCCAGCCTGGGCGACAGAGTGAGACTCCATCTCAAAATAAATCAACAAACAGAGTTAAAAATTGTGTTAACTAAAAAACTATTATAAATAGTACATAGTGATATTTTCCTTATCTAATTTTTCTATGAAACTTCTAAACACAAGTTGCTTCTGTATGTTTCTGTGTTTTTCTAACAAGTAAATATTCCTGCAAAGCAAAAGGTGTCTTCAGTTCTTTGTAATATATGTTGATTAGCATAACAGATGAAAAATTTTTTGGCCTTTCCCCCAAAATCTTCTATGAAATTTTACAGAAATATTTTTGTTTAAATTTACTTACTTTGTAATACGGTCAATGTTGGCAATTTGCTTCTGGTTCCGTATAATCTCAATGGCTGCCCAAAGATGCTGGATAGCTTTTGTATCCGCCTGTCGTCTTTTTGTTAAACGTGCCATGACCTGTTTACTTCTTTAGCTGCAGTAATAAAAACATAAGGGAAACAAAAAACAGATTACAAAATGATTTGTCAATATAAGCGAATAACATTATCAGGACCTCTCAACTACTGATTATACTTAGTATGCAGTATTGCCCACTTTCTATTTTTTCTACCATCCACATCACCAGTTACTTCATATAAAGTATCATTCATTTCATTACATCATGAAGAATGACATTCTAAAAGCCAAAAAGTTAAAAAGGTTACCCCAAGAAGAATAAGTGGTCACTTCATACCAATATACTTTTAGAAAATGCATTTAAGTTTATCCTAAAACACAGAAATACTGCAAGATAAAACTTCCTTTGTTGACATTACATTGTTTGTAATTTGATCAACACAAAATGGAATTTAAATATTCTAATTGTTTAGTACTTTGGTTTATTATAATCATGGCTTAATCAAATTTTATATACATACATAGATACATGAAAACAACATTCTTTTTAAAATCAAACCATGAACTTTAAATATAAGGAAGTTACTTCTGGGATGAGATGTGAAAGGCTGAGGGACAGAACAGTAGAAGGTCACAAATGATGAAGAATGGTAACATTCTTGGTTTAGGTGTAAGTTTCGGAGGGTATTTATTACACTATTAGGAAACAGCATTGCTATTTTATTCAAATTTTAGTATTCTAGATGAATTGAAGAAAATTGCCACCACACCTCCCAATACTTTTCCTGCTGTCTCCTGGCAAGATGGGGAGAGAAAAGAGTTAAACCCTGGATGTCCGGAGAACAGCAGTATCAGAGAGGATTCTCTGAACTCAGCATGGAGAGACGCGTCTGTAGGAATCTGGTAAGCCTTTGTCATGAATCCTAGCATTGAGGACCCACTGGAACATCTCTCTAGATCCTACATGCTATCACGCTGATTGTAAAATCTAGGTTCTAAAATACACAGTGAACATTAAGCCTTCTCAGATCGCTGAAATCTCCTTGATCTGCCCTTTCCTACATTTTAAGTTTGGAGAATGAGGGAGAGAAGCACTTTGCTGTGTTCCATGACTGGCCAAGAGAGCCACAGGAATCTCCTTTTTCTCTACCTCTGTGTTTCTTCACAGCCCACTCAGTTCCCCCACTTTCTCCGACAAACACAAATAAACTCTATAGTTGCTACCAAAACTTATCTTGAGAAAATTGGGTCAGTCAGGCTCCTAAAACAAGATGTTTTCCAGAATTACACCAGCATCAGAATACATTTTGGACATGTTTAAAGGTATTCCTGAATATTCTCACACTATTACTTCTAATAGTTCCAAGCTGCTCCACAGAGCAAATAATTGAAAAATAATACCAGTATTCAAGTTCTAAAGAAAACTTTAGGAATATCAGTTGGTTCTGTATAACTTTATACATAACTAAAATACAAAAATTGTAACTTAGGAACACTTCCATTTTAGACAGTAATCACTTTAAAATGTACAAAAATTTCTCTGTTGAAGTGCACTTGTACTGGAGCACCAACTTTCAGAATTTGATATGCCTTAATGGAAGGAATTCATTGGTAAGGATTTACCATATGTCAGAAAGTGACATCTAATGGTAAACTGTAATAATACAACTCAATCCTGTGCGATTATACAAATACTCAGATAAATGAACAAAGTTTCAGTTATTCCTATATAGTTAAAAATATATACAGGTGTCCACTTTATCTAAGGCACTGTGCTAGACACAATGAAGTAGTTAAAACTGTATAAACAGCGACCCTTGCCAAAAAATACTCTAAAACTGGCAGAGGAAATTTGATATACACATGGAACTAACTGTAAGGTCATATATGACATATAAATGGTCCACAATATGTACTATAAAAATTCAGACAAGGGAGACACTACTTCTCACTTAGGTAAAATTTGAGCAAAGAGATTAGGAGCTCTGCAAAATAGTAAATATGTGTAGGAAAATGTAAAAGCCAATTTTTCCCTTTCTTAATTTCTTTAAAAGATAACTGGCAGTTTAAAGCAAAGATAAAAATAATTGATAGGTGTCATTAGGCTTAAACACATGTAGAAATAAAATATATAACAACCAAAACACACAGGAAGGGAAGTGGGAGTAAGTAGAAATATATTATTATAAATCTCCTACATTTTATGCAAGTAGTATTATGTTAATTCAAGGGAGGCTATCATAAATTAAGGATGTATATTATAATTTCTAGAGCAAACATTGAAGAATAATACAAATAGGTATAGGTAACAATTCAACTTGTAAATTTTTTTTCACAATTCATGATATGTAAGAATATGAATAATTTATTCAGAACTATAAAAAAAGTAAAATGTTAAATTTAACAGCAAAGCTAACATTTTTAAATAATATCATAATAAATAGTAAATGTAACTATTTATATAACATAACCAGAAGAATATAGTGGGGACTAAGTAGCAGAAACCCTAAAAGTGATGTCACAGATTCCTAGAAATGATTAAAATCAAGATTAAAGAATGAAGCAATGCTACATTTCAGAAAAGCAGGTGTAAAGTTAAAAATCAAAGATTTGAGAACTACCTGAATCAAGGCACAGAAATAAACATACCTGGTAATACAGGTGCACTATAAGGAGGGTGATCATTAGTTATAAGAGCCCACGCAGAACATTGCAAAAAACGCCAGGGAAAGACAAATCCAAGTGAGAGAAATACAATGAAGTTTGAGGCATATTATAAAGCTACCAAAAACAGCTTGACCTATGGAGGCAAGATCTCTTTAAAGTGCAACCATAAAATTATCCTTTCATATGAAATCTAAATTCATTCACTCATTTAACATAGAATTCGTGCATGCCTGTTACACACCAGGTGCTCTCCTATGTTCTAGGGATGCAGCAATAAGCAAAATGGACAAAAATCCTCCTCTCATCCAGTGAACACGACTAATGATGTGACTAGATGTATAAGAAAAGAACAGCACTTTGGGTGTTCATCAATAAAAAGAAAGTCTTGGAATCCTGGGTACAGAGAGCTGATTATTTAAGGTCCTTGTTGACATGGCCAAACCAAATCTTACAGTCCATCCTTATCTGAGTGCATATTGCATTACTGCTCACAGCTCCCAATCACGCTCCCAAACGTCACACCTCCATCCCTTTGTTTATGCCGTTCTCTCTCCCTGGCATGTTCTCCCCTGCCCCTTACCAATTATTAAAAATTTCCCTGTCCTTTCTAGGATTTACTTTAATGCAATTTTCCCTGACCAGCCTTTTCTCCTGGAATCAAACCAAATAAAACTCAATTGTCCTTTGTATTCTAATACCAATTTGTTTATACATCTCTTGCAAATGTATTGCTTGTACAAATACTTACAAATTCCTCAAAAGAATTGTTTTAATTCAACTAAGACAAGATACATCCTATTCATTTTTATAACTCATGTTTTTCAACGTGCCTAGCAGTTTTGAACATATTAACCCTTTAATATAAAATTATTAAATTCAATTTTTTCAGTTGTTATGTAAATAACAAGAGCCCAGAGTGTACCTTTCTTTATGTTTTATCAAAGATTGAGACATCAAAAAGAAAGATCAGAAGACTCTGTGGAGATCATTAATACAGTCTTCAATCTTTGTTCTGCTCCAACACATTTGAGGAATGGAACAGGCCCCTTTTGGTAAAAGCAGACCATGATTCTCAAGAAGCCTGTAGTTAAAAAAATAAAAATAAAAAATAGCAAAAACTTCTGAGTAACTTTAATAACCCCCTAGGTGATACTGATATTCTCCATCCCAACAAATCCATATGTACTGCTATCTCCACAGTCTACAGAAGTGTCATTTTATATCCATACTACTTCTACACAAACTCGGGTGAGGGCAAAAGGGAGAATAAAGGAGAAAACATGTCAGAAAAAAGCTTAGGAATATTCAAAATTAAACAAGATGTTGCTTGGTGATATATATATATTTGTGAAAACTGCTTTAAGGAAATGATAAACACAATAGTTAACAAGAACAGCTGAGGGGGGCAGGGAAAAGAGATGAAGGAGCACAGTATGGGAACTCAAAACACCAAATAGGTTCTGATATTTACTTCTGGTGGTAGGTTCAGGTTTTTCATCAGTACATTGCATAAAATGTTTTCAAATATTTGCATCAAATATTATTACTATTTCCCAAAGTCTATTAGCACTTTTAAATTATTTTTCATTGTCTATTCATACCATTTTCCCAGTTATATATTAATTTTCACATTACGTTCATCCATAAAATGCTTTCCTCTTTGCCTCTTAATAAACATTAAATTTTACTGAAATCTAGCTATGTATTCCTTTATCGTTGCTTTTGTGATCAGAAGTCCCTCTACACTCAAATCAGAAAAATTACGCAATTATATTTTGTAGTTTTTTATTGGTATTTTTTAGTTTTTGAGGCGGGGTTTCGCTCTTGTCACCCAGGCTGGAGTGCAATGGTGTGATTTTGGCTCACTGCAACCTCCACCTCCCAGGTTCAAGTGATTCTGCTGCCTCAGCCTCCCGTGTAGCTAAGCTAGGATTACAGGCACGTGCCACCACACCTGGGGAATTTTTGTATTTTTAGTAGAGATGGGGTTTCACCATGTTGGCCAGGCTGGCTCTCGAATTCCTGACCTCAGGTGATCCGCCCACCTAGGCCTCCCAAAGTGCTGGGGAGAATTACTTTTTTAAAATTTTGATTAGTAAACTATTTTTTAGAGCAATTTTAAGTTTGCAGCAAAATTGAATGGAAAATAGAGTTCCCATATACTCCCTGGCCCCACACATGCACAGCCTCCGCTATTATCAACATCCCACACCAGAGCAATACATTTGTTAAAAATCCACAAACCCACACTGACGTATCATTACGACTCAAAGTCCACAGCATACATGAGGGCTCACTCTTGGTGGTGCACATTCCATGGGTTTTGACGAAGGTATGAATGACAAGTATGTGCCACTGCAGTACCCATACAGAAAGGTTTCACTGACTTAAAAATCGTCTGTGCTTCACGTATTCATCCCTTCCTTCCCCTAACCCTCGGCAACCACGGGTCTTTTTACTGTCTTCATAGTTTTGCCTTTTCCAGGATGTCACAGAGTTGGAATCAAACAGTATGTAGCCTTTTCAGGTTGGCTTCCTTCACTTAGTAATATGCATTAAGTTTCCTCCATAGCTTTTTATGGCTTGATAGACTGTTACTTTTTAGTACTGAATAATATTCCACTGGCTGCATATAACACAGTTCATCCATTCATCTACTCGAGGACAGGTTGCTTCTAAGTTTTGGCAATCAAAACAAAGCTGCCATAAACATCCAAGTGCATGTTTTTATGTGCACATAAGTTTTCCATTCATTTGGGTAAATACTAAGGAGTGTAACTGCTGGTTCGTATGGTTGGAAAATGTTCAAGAAACTGCCAAACTGTCTTCCCAAGTGACCAGACCATTTTGCACTTCCACCAGCAATGACTGAGCACTTCTGTTGTTCCACATCCTCATCAACATTTGGGATTGTCAGTCTTTTGGATCTGGGCCATTCTAATAAGTGTGTGGTGATACCTTACTGATGTTTTTTAAATTTCCTAATGATATATGATATTGAATGTATTTTCATATGTTTATTTGTCATCCGTATTTCTTTGGTAAGATGTCCAGCCAGGTCTTCTGCCCTTAAAAAAAATTTTTTTATATATATTTTTGAAAGAGGGTCTCACTCTGTCACCTAGTCTGCAGTGCAGTCATAGCTCACTATACCCTCAAATTCCTGGGCTCAAGTGATTCTCCTGCCTTAGACTCTAGAGTAGCTAGGACTACAGGCATGCACCACCATGCCCTACTCATTTTTTATTTTTTAATGTTTTGGAGAGGCAGGATTACTCTACGTTGCCCACGTTGGTCTCCAACTCCGGGCCTCAAGTGATGCTCCCACCTTTGCCCTTCTGCCCATTTCCAGAACATGTTTTCCATTTTCTTATTATTTAATGTTAGATGTTCTTTGTTATGTTTTGTTTGATGGTCCTTTATTAGATATGTCTTTTGCAATTATTTTCTCCCAGTCTGTGGCCTGTCATCTCGCTTTCTTGACATTATCTTTCACAGAACAAAAGTACTAAATTTTAAGGAAGTCCAGCTTATCAATTCTTTCCTTCGTGGATCATGCCTTTAGTGTTGTACCTAAAACATTATCACCACACAAAAGGTAATCTAGGTTTCCTCCTATGCTATTGCCTAAGAGTTTTACAGTTTTGTATTTTACACTTAGGTCCCTGATTCATTCTCAGTTAATTTTTGTGAAGGATGTAAGGTCTGTGCCTAGATGATTCTTAACTTTTTCTTTTTTTTTTTTTTTGAAAGTGGATGTCCATTTGTTCCAGCACCATTTCCTCAAGGGCTTTTTGCTTCAAGGTATTGCCTCTGCTCCTTGGTAAAAGTTGAACTGACTGTATTTATGTATTTCTGGGTTGTCTATTCTGTTCCATCCATCTATTTGTCTGTCCTGTCACCATTGCCACATTGTCTTGGTCACTGAAGTTTACAGTAAGTCAATGTCAGGTAGTATCAGTCCTCAGACTTTGTCCTTCAATATTACGATGACTATTTTGGGTATTTTGTCTCTGCGTATAAACTTTAGAATCAATTTGCTGATATCCATGAAATAACTTGCTGGCATTCTGATTGAGACTACATGAATTTGTACATAAAAGTGGGAAGAAGAGACATCTTGACAATATTGTTCTCCTATCCATGAACATGGAATATTGCATCATTTATTTTATCTTTTATATCTATTATCAGAGCTCTGCAGTCTTCCTGATATACATCTTGTCCACAATTTATTAGATTTCTACCTAAGCATTTCATTTCAGGGGTACTAATGTAAATAATATGCTTTCGATTTCACATTACACTTGTTCATTGCTGATAAACAGGAAAGTGATGGATTTTTGTATATTACCCTTGTATCTTGCAACCTGGCTATAACCACTTAGTAGTTCCCGGAGTTTTTTTGTTAATTCTTTTGGATTTGCTATATAAATGATCATGTCATCTGCCAACAGACAGTTTTATCTCTTCCTTCCCAATCTATTTGCTTCTTATTTCTGTTTATTATCTTATTGCATTAGCTAGTACTGCAGTTTGAATGTTTTCGTTTATCCAAAATTTATGTGAGAAATTAAACCCCAAGGTGACGGCATTCAGATGTGGAGAGGTTGGGAGGTGATTGGGCCCTGGGGGCTCTGCCCTCATGAATGGGATTAATGCCCTTAAAAAAGAGGCTTCAGAGACCTGCCTGGCCATTCCATCTCTTCTGCCATGTGAGGACACAGCAATAAAGTATCATCCTGGAAACAGAGCAACCCTTACGAGACACGAATCTGCCAGTGCTTTGATCCTGGACTTCCCAGCATGCAGAACTGTGAGAAATAAACTTCTGTGATTTATAAATTACCCAGTCTGTGGTATTTTGTTATAGCAGCAGGAATAGAGTAAGACAACTAGGACGTCCCATATGACGTTGAAAGGCAGTGGTGAGGGGACATTCTTGCCTTGTTCCTGATCTTAAAGGAAAAGCTTCGAGTTCCTTACCATTAAGTATGATGTTAGTTGTAGGGTTTGTGTAGATACTCTTTAACAAGTCAAGGAAGCTCCTTTTTATTCCTAGTTTCTTGGGAGGTTTTATGAAAGAATGTTGGGTTTTGTCAAATCCTCTTTCTGTATCCATTGGTAAGATCACCTGATTTTGATAAACCATTTTTATTCTCACTTAGTTCCAAATACTTAAAAGTTCCTCAAGATTTATTCTTTGAGCCCTGTTATTCAGAAGTGTGCATTTCATTCCAATATATTTGGGGATTTTTCAGCTATCTTTGTTATTAATTTCACTCTTCATTCCATTGTGGTCTGACAGCAGATATACTATTTCTATTATTTTAAGTTTATTAAGGTCTGTTTTATGGCATCGAACGTGGTCTATGTTGGTGAACGTTCTGTGTGACCTTCAGAAGAATGTGTGATTTGCTGTTATTGAATAGTGTGATTTGCTGTTATTGAATAATGTAATCTATAGATGTCAATTATATCCAGTTGATTGATGTTTTTGAGTTCAACTATATCCTTACCAACCTTTTGCCTACTAGATCAGACTATTTTTGCTAGAGGGGTATCGATAGCTCCAACTATAGTAGTGGATTCATTTATTTCTCCTAGGAGTTCTATCAGTTTTTGCCTCACATATTCTGATGCTCGGTTGTTAGGTGCATACACATTAGGCACTGTTATGCCTTCTTCGAGTATTGACTCCTTTATCATTATATACTGCCCACCTTTATCCCTGATAACTTCCCTGCCTCTGAAGTCCTTTGTCTGAAACTGATACAGCTATTCTGATTTTTTTTTCATTAGTGTTACCATGCTATATTCTTTATCTCTTCAATCTGTAAAGTGCATTTCTGGCAGTCAAGACATTGTTGGGTCGAGTGTTCTGATCCACTCTCACAATCTCTGTCTTTTAATGGCTGTGTTTAGGCCATATTTCAAGTGATTATTAATATAATTAGATTAATATCTGCCATGTTTGTCACTATGTTCTATTGTTTGACTTTGTTACTCTTATTTCTGTCTTCCACACTTTTCCTACCTTTTGTGGTTTTAGTTGAGCATTTATGCAATTCAATTTTCTCTCCCTTCTTATCACATCAATTATACTTCTTGCTTTACTACTTGTAGTGGTTTCCCCAGAGTTTGCAACACACATTACAATTAACCCAAGTCCACTCTCAAATAACATTATACTGCTTCATGGGCAGTGCAAGTACCTTATAATAACAAAATATTCTGAATTCTTCCCTCCAGTCCCTGTGCCATTTCACTTACACATAAACTGTCATTCATTTTACTTACACATAAGCACACACACACACACAATCAAATACACAGTTACTATTATTGTTTTGAACAAATTATCTGTTAGTAGAAAGAAAAAAAATGTATTTTATCTTTCCTTATTCCTTCTTGAATGATCTTCCTTTCCTCATCTACATCCAGGTTTCTAACTGAAATAATTTGCCTTCTTTCTGAAGAACTTCTTTTAACATTACAAGGCAACAAATTTCCTTAATTTCGTCTGAGAAAGTCTGTATTTTTACTTTTTATGAAAGATATAGTTTTAC